TTTTTTTTTTTTTTGGCTTTGGGGGTTACATCAACATCCTCTGTAAGGACATTTAAATTGGAAGTATGGAATATTTTACATAAAATGCAGATATAGATTTCTTTAGGGTTATAAAGACATCGATTCAGGGGCGTGTTTATGGTTATTCTGGTAGTTATGCCAAGGAGATTTATGATGGAGCAGAAATTTCAGCAACCCCCAAGAAGGCAACAGCTGAAGTTTCCAGTGCATATTTCACATGGACTCCGGCCAGTAGATGGGAATATTATAATTCCAACTAAGCGCTCCCCTCTTTGTATGAACACACAAAGAGCCTCTGTGGCACACTCCCTCTAGGACTGGCACATCCTCTGCTGCCCAAGAACATTTATACGACGCTCCAGAGTCCTTGCCTTGGTAGAGAGGAGCTGCATTCACTCAATCATCATTTCTGACATTCTTGAAGAAAGCCCCTCGTTCAGTCCATCTCTCTCTGCGTCATAACCTCCCTTGGAGTCACAACAAAGCAAGCAAATGTTAGAATCAGTTAAAATGCTTTATCTTGACCCACATGAATGGCAAAGAAGAAAAAAATTGAATTCAGATGATTCTTGGCCAAAATGTAATCTCAGCATTTAAAAATATTCAAAAATCATCCTATGGTAGAAATATTCTCAAAATTGTGCACTCAAATGAGTATAACAGCTTAACCATATGTTTGAACCATCTAGACTGTTTCCTTAATAGATTTTTACCCTAAATTGACTCCCTTTTTTACTTAAACATCTGAATTAATATGAGGAAATCAATTTAACTGTTGTAAAATGAAACCAGTACTACTTGTTATGAAATAGAAATGAAGAGTGAAAATAAATATCAAGTGTTTTTGACTTTTTCCCTATGTCCTGTTAGCTTCGCACATCTCAAAGCCCTGAAGCCTTCATCAGATTAAAGTCCTATTTAAAATAACAAAAATAATTTTGCACATCTGTTAGCTTCCCACCTCTCAAAGCCCTGAAGCCTTCATTACCTTTTTTTAAAAAGAAGAGTAAAGTATTAAGGGTAGACTATAATTACAATTTTTTTCCTTTGATGTGATCCAATTTGAAAGAATTGAAAGATAATTGACTTTTTCACTTTGCAAATAAATGCTGTTTTACGTCATGCCCTGTACTAAGATAATTCATAGCCTCTCAATGATTTCTTATTCTTTGGGAAACGAATACAGTAAATATTCTCAGGCTCAGGATCTGATACGTTAGAGAATCCTGTATTGTTTACTGTCAGGACGATAAGAACAGCTGTCAAGTCTGCTGTCTACCATATCCTGTCCCTTTTAACTCTGGTCTCTCAGAGTTTCACTCTGTTCATTAATAGTGTGACATGCCAATGTCGGGCAGTAAAGGGATTGAGATATTTGATCATCAGATATATTAGTATTTTCTTAGTATATCAATAAAGTTTTTTTTTCTGGATTGTGTGAAATAGGCCCGTTTTATGTGTAAAATTATTTTTGTTATTTTAAATAGGACTTTAATCTGTTTCTTCACATTACTCTAAACCCCTCACTTCAGTTCATCTATGGGTTTTTGGAAACTGCAGCTTTAAGTAAAATGGTGCATAAAAAGCTGATTTTAGCACAGGCTAATTGATATAAACAAAAATTAAGTCCCATGTCCTAGTCATAGAAACATCACCAACCTTCCAAATAAAGATCCCAAACATTCCTAATATTAAATTTAGAAATAAATGTGTACTATGCATACATTTTAGAAAGATTAACGAAAACAAGAGAATTATTTATCCAATTTTTTTTTTTTTTTTTTTTTTTTTTTGAGACAGAGGTTCAAGCTGTCACACTCGGCAGAGTGCCATGACATTACAGCTCACGGCAACCTTAAACTCTTGGGTTTAAGTGATTTTCTTGCTTCAGCCTCCCAAGTAGCTGGGACTACAGGTGCCTGCCACAATGCCCAGCTATTTTTTGGGTGTAGTGGTCATTGTTGTTTGGCAGGCCCAGGCTGGATTTGAACCCACCACCTCCGGAGTATGTGGGTGGTGCCCTAACCACTGAGCTACGGGTGCTGAGCCTATTTACCCAGTTTTTTGATGAATAAGTGATTGACGGTAATTGGTATGGGAGGGGGTTAAATTATGGAGTAAATGTTTGCAAACTGGAGACTATGAGGAGCCCTCCTCCCGCCACACCTTTCAAAATCAATCACAAACGTGGCGGCTGACTAAGCACTTTCCCACTGCATCTTTTATTCTGATGAATTTGTGTGATTGTCTTAGACTTGATGAATTTTAATTTGATGATAACTTGTATTCATTCATTTCTTCATTCTCCAACCCATTTATTCCACTCAAGGTCGAGGGTAGCCAGAGCCTGTCCTGCTGGATCAGGGTGCCAGGCAGGAGCCAGCCCCGGCTGGGACACCACCCATCGCAGGGTGCACTCACATACATCCTGGGATCTTTGGGATGTGGGAGGACACTGCAGGACTCAGAAAAAACACAGAGCTAGGGAGAACTTAGCAGTTCCCCACAGTCAGGGAACCCCAGCAGGAAATGGTCTTTTCTTTTTCTTATCAATATTGTAACGAAGAGACCTTGAATGGGCAGTGTTATTTGAGACCCTGCTATATATGCTAAGAAACTCTTTTTTTTTCCCTAAGGCAGAGACTCAACTTTGTTGCTCTCAGTAGAGTGCTGTGGCATCATAGCTCACAGCAACCTCAAACTCTTGGACTTAAGTGATTCTCTTGCCTCAGCCTCCCGAGTAGTTGGAACTACAGGCCCTCCACAAGGCCTGGCTAGTTTTAGACACGAGGTCTCTCTCTTGCTCAGGCTGGTCTCTAACTCATGAGCTCAGGCAATCCACCTGCCTTGGCCTGCCAGAGTGCTGGGATTACAGGCATGAGCCATGATGCCTGGCCTGAAAGTCTTATCTTTAAGCTATTAATATACTTCTGAAACGTATTTCATGGATAATCTAGGTATTCTCACAAATAATGAACCTTTGAATCTTTTTCATTATATTCTCTCAAAAAAGCTCTCAGACTGATTTTTATCTCCATCCGCATCATATTTTCTCTGTTTGAATTATCACTCTACTGCTACTCCATAGTAAATCTTTTTGAGGTTAGCACAAGCAACGAAAGCAAGAACTTAATAACTCCATTAGTCCTTATTGTTTGAAAAATCTAGCTTACAGTAGGTACAATAGGCACTGCTTCTAGCTTCCCGCATGTGTTTACCTGTTCCAATAGTAAGTTCCCTTGTAGAACATTTGTTTGGATCCAACAATCCCTCTAGCTGTGTAGACCAAATATCTTAAGGAAATTGTGTATGTGGGATGTGCAGGATTTCAGTCATTTTGTCAATGCCACCACAAATGCCTCCTGCCAGTTCTAATAAATAATCACAAATCTTAATTAACATTTGGTTTATATTTTAATGCCTATCCTTTCCAATATACATATTTTAAACCTTAATATCCCTGGGTTATAGAGTAAAGTAGTGGCATCATTTCTATATCCTTTAAGAAACTCTGAAAAGATTATTAAGACCTCAACTTTAAAAGAGGAAAGATGAACTTGAGTGAGACCTACGGAAAGGAATAGTGTTTTGATACCACGTCTACAACAGCGGGCAGTGGTTTCTGTTACCATGTGAAGTTCTGCCTGGCTGAAGGGTTATCTAAATGGAAAATGGATATAATCTTAAATAGTTATCTTTTCAAAAAGTATTTATCCTGGGTTCTCTAGTGTGGATGTCTTTATAAAGACAATGATACACTTTTTGAAATCTCTGGAACACATGAAGATTAGTGAATAGCTTTTTATATTAAGACACCGTCATCATTACATTTGTAGGAGAAGCTGACGTGTCTGCTATAGAAACGTGGGAATCTTACTTAAGTGTGTCTTCATGGAGCATTTCTTCAAGCCAATTGTTTTTCTGCAATCCAAAACGCTATCACCACTCTTTCAGCAGACTTTTGATCTTGTTTTGACATATTACTCTAGGACATTTCTCATGAGTGCTTTTTGACTACACTATTTAAACATTTTAAATAAGTATAACGAGTAGGCTCCATTGAGTAGTTTTTGACAAAGCTTACAAAATACCTCATTCTGAAGCTTCTAAAGAAAAACCACTTGAAAATTAGTCATGCCATGGTATCCTCACAAATAATGAAACTTTGAACCTTTTTCCTTATATTCCCTAGAAAAACATTCAGACTGATTTTGTTAAAATCTGTGACAAAAGACGCTTGGGTATTTGGGTCTTACCATACTTGTTTGCTGTAAGCAATGTCATTCTGGGGAGAGTATTCTCTGTAGGCTGTCTCTGCAACTGGGTATTCCATTTATAAGAAACTGACCGAAAAGGGGAGAAGGAAACTTTTAAAATTTGAAGAAAATGTCTTGATTTTTTGGATACCTCCGTAAAATTTCAGAAATGTGAGCGATTAAAACTACTGATTTTTAGTATCTTGGACTGTTTTCCTAAAATAGGGAATGAATACTACTCTTCCAGCAAAAGCATGCTTTAGGTCGCCATCTAGTGGTAGCTTCTCAGATACTCCACTAACGTTGGTATCAGAGGCTCCTCAGCCTTGGAGGGGTTACATTCCCAATAAACTCATCCTAGTAAGTCAAAAATGCATTTAAATATGCTCAGAACACTTACATTAGCCTACAAAGGACAAAATCATCGAACACAAAGCCTGTTTTTGACTATCTTATGCAATTATTAAATACTACATTGAAGGTGACAAACGGTTGTATGGTACTTGCAGTACAGTTTTTACTGAGTGCCTGTTGTTTTCACACCATCATAAAGTTGAACAAAATCCATGATTTTACATGGTGATGTCTACAGTGTAATTTTTTTTTTTAAATAAGAATTATATGTTTCCCTAAATCTTTTTCATTCAGGACAATTTTTAAAGGAATTTAAAATCAAGATCATTAAAATACCCCCAAAGTTTTAGAAGTTGAAATAACATAGGTTTGCAGAATTTAAACCCACCTGTACTTGGATTTGTGCCAGTTTTATATATTGCTTTATATGATACATCAAAGAAAGTAATTTTCATTATTTGGCATGAGACTCTGACTCCTATACTGGAAAGACATTCCTTTGCTAGTGGGACTGGAATTGGCATTTAGGAAGATTTGGGAGTTCCCAAAGGCATACTTTGGTATTTTTTTCTACTGTCTTCCCGGAATATTCATCAAATAGTTTCCTCAAAGTAGCTTTAATTATGCATTTCTATATCTCCTATGAACATTTTACTCAAAACTAACCATAAGCATAAAGAAAGATGACTGATAGTGAAAGAGATTCAAAAAATTTTCCCTCTTTTTGTAGCCTATCATATTTTAAGAGACTGTTGTTCTCTTTAACTACTCTGAGTAAAGTGCCCAATAGCACACTGCTAGAGAGATTTAGCAAACACTGGCTGATGGGTGTAATTTTCATTTTTGAAAAAATTTCAGATTGCCCCTCCTTCCCCCCCCACCCCCGAAATAGTCTCTTTCTTCCTACTTTAGTGTAAATGACTATATTTGAGAAATTTTGATGAAAACATCTGGGGGAATCCAACCTGATACTTGAAAAGTAAATGTTTTATTACAGGGTGGAAAGAGAGGGAAGAGAGAGAGGTCGAGGGCAGTACATGTGCCCTACACCTATTCTCCCTTTTCAAGGAAACCCCTGCACATCATCTCACTCAAGTTTTCTCTCGGGCCAACTCTTTGTCATTCTAAAATGCACAAAAAGCATCACTTCTTGTTACAGTAAGTTAACATGTACATAAAACAGTCCTCATTTTATGGACATAAAGGAATCTGTAGAACTAAAAATGATAAATATATGTAAGTGATAGTTAAGGAGCAATGAATTATTGTAAGGATAAACTAATTGATAGCTATTTAAGAGAAGTTGCAAAGGTCAATAAGCGTACTATCAAAATACCTCCAGTTTTCTGTGCCTCTGTAGGTGTATCTTTTGACTTGCGTTATAAATTATGTGATGATGAATAAAATGTGATGAAATTAAAATGCGTGTGATTGCAAATTTAAATTGTTTAATAATCCCATGACTGTCAAATATAAGTAAGGGACTAATCCTGTTTCCAATGGGCAGATGGCATTATCTATAGAATATCTGTCGTGATTCAAAACATCCTTCGTCACCCTGAGGTGAAAGTACAGAGCAAGGTGGCAGAATGGGTAAGTGAACTCGGAAAATGTCTTTTTTTGTTTTCTTTAAACTTTTAATTTCTGGAAATAGGGAAAATACTCTGGGTAACTGAATCCATGATCTTTCTGAAACACAGATAGTGTTCATCATAAACATAAAATGTATCTTAAGTGAGGTATTGTGCTTATGCATAGAATAAAATATTCATACCCTTGCATAAAAGATAAGAGACTAATAGGCTGCACTATGTCGGTGTCTTAAGAAAAGTACTACACAAATGAAAATAGCATTAGCTATAGTTTTACAAATAGATCTCTTATTTTTTTTTTGTTTGAATATTTGATCAAAACCAAAAAGTACAAAAAGGACATATCATGAAAGTCATCCACTCATCTCTGCTGCGCACCTGCCTGGGACCATCCCAGTTACCAACAGTGAGTTGGACATCACTGTTAGTTTTTCTTGAGTTTTTCTAGATTTCTTTGTGCACATAAAATAAAACCGTAGGTTCTTCTTTCCCTTTTACACTGAAAGAGGTACACTTTACACCCCGTGCCATTCTGTATTCATTTTTGCTGTTGTCAGATTTGCAACCTGAATTCACAGAGAACTCCTGCCCTTGTTTCCTTTTTATGCACAATGCATATGACATCGTGCGGCTTCCTAGTCATGTGCTGAGCGAATGTTGATGAACATTTAAATTATAATTTATTTAACCAGTCTTCTACCGGCCAAAACCAATATATAAGTAGTTTCTAATTTTAAAAAGTTAATATTTCATTCTCTTATCGTTCCTACAAATACAACCTATGGATTTTTCTATTTTCTTCTCAACAATAATCTCAAACATGTTATTTTCCAGAGCTTTCTATTTTTTTTCATTTCCTACCTACAGCATATTGCGAGACTGTACTTCTTCTTACATATAAAATACTATTATGGTTTAAATATTGGTTATTTTGCAAATAAAATCACTAGCCTATGCTCGTGATTTTCCTACTTTAGAAAAAAGTAAGAAAAATGGATGTTCTTATGTAGTAGGTGTCTGATAATGTGTTTGTGGTAACAACAGAAAGTTTAACCAGACATTGGGAAGTAGTGGTGATTATTTACACACTCACATTTGAAAAATAACCGATAGGAAACATTGTTATTTTTAAAGGCTGTGCCTATTAAAACAAGTTGACCATAGGAAACAATAGTGTGTAATTAACAACTCTGTTACAAAATTGAGGAGAGAAGTGAAATTCTCTGATGGAAATCAAAGAAAAAGGCTACTGCTGACTTTTTGCAACACTACATTAACATGAGTAATTCAAACACTAGGAGATGCATTTAACTTTTGTAGGCAAGTGAGCGAACTTTCCAGGAAGAGTAATATTCTTGCATCCCGTTTTCTTTCCAGTGTTCTTTTTGTTTTGGTTAAAGTCAGAATGATTGCAAGAGAGGAAATACGTTCATTTTTATTCTCACACAAGCCCCGGGTAATGATATTAATCCTGAAACTTAGCATTCCCTAGAAGGTTTGTGCTAGGCAGGGTATAATTTTACATTTTTGTTGATTTCATGGATGGTGTTCAACATAGCATAATTCTCATCGGAAGCAATACTTCACCGGACACTTTTTATTTAAGATGCAAGATATCAAAGCAGATACTTGATAATAGAGAAAACATAAGTGGTGTCCCTGATTCGTATTATTTACAATTAAAAATCATTGTAACACCTTTTTTGCCAGAATTTCCTAAAATTTACATTCAGTTTTAGAAATGCTTACAAGGAAGGCTAAATATATGTATGAAATAAGACCTAAAGAATTCCTCAGAGGTGATTTATGAGTAGGAAGACCTCATGTCAGTGAAGAAATCCTATTTTGCTCTGGTGTTGGACACGGCGGCAGGGAAGCTTCTTGTTGATATTGAAAGGAATCCACTGCCTGATTAAGGAGTACGGTGCTGAGAGCCACTGAACACAGTAATTAACATAGTTCCAGTAATGTCGAGCTTATTTTTTGTTTGTTTTTTTAAGCTTTGTATTGTCGACTCATAATTTTTCTTATTCCTAATACACTTGGAGATGTAAATTACTACCAAATATTTTAGCGCACCTCAGTGTTTGATAAATAAAGACTAGGGAGGTGTTTATTGTGATAATCTTTGTATTATAATATAGGCTAGAGAGGAGATAATAGTGTTTCCAAACAGACAGACTTGGATTCCAATCTGGGATCTGCCACTTCCTATTTGGGTGATTTTGGGGCAAACTATTTCCAGTCTGTGAAGCTCAGTTTCTATATATATAAGAAACAAAGGTATGGTGGGGGTAGGTTACTACCTATCTCATTGTTTGTGAGAATGAAAAGGAATAACATTTGTCAAGTTCTTGGCATACAACCATCTAGTGAATGTTACTTTTTACTCCTCTAACTTTCCAACAGTTTCCCAGGGGCTTACTCTAATAACAATTTATCTTTGTGGAAGGAAGAATCTTGATTCAGATTTAATAATAATAATAATAATAATAAAGTATTACCACATCTCAGCTTTTTCTGTTGTGTTTCTTAGCTCAATTCAACCTTCCAGAATTGGAACTACACTGTTTATGTGGTTAATATCAGGTAAGTAAGAGAATGAATGATCTGAGAAATTAAAGGTTGTGCCTAATTAATGCTGAGTGCGTACTCTTTCTATGATTGAACCCACACACAAATACCTATGCACACACACACCATATTGATAATCTTTCTAAAACAACTATATTTTATTACTTTGTACAAAAAGCCTTATTGCCACAGCAACGATTTTTAATATTTTTTGAGCATTCATTCCAGTCATTTTAAAAAAACTAGTCCCCAATATATATTTATGTTTTAAAAACACTGTGTATGTGTGTGAGGGTGGTGCAACTGAATCACTATAACAACATGTTAAAATGTGTCAAAAACTAAAACCGGATAGTACAAATAGAAGCTATTAGTTCCTTCTCTTACCCCACAGGGGTGGGGAACCTGTGGCTTCAGGGCCACATGTATCCTTGGGGATCCTTAAGCGAGGCCTTTTAACTGAGTCCAAATTTTACAGAACAACTATTATAATAAGGGGGTTTGTTCTGCGAAGTTTGGATTCAGTCAAGAGGCCACACGTGGGAATCTAGAGGGCCACACTTGGCCTTGAGGCCAAGGAGCACCCTTTGGGTTGCATGTACTTCAGTTTCGAGACCACTTTTCTACCAGATCTGACCTTGCACGTCTACATTCTGATTGCAACTTAGCTTCTTGAGATTATCTTTCCCTGTTTTTCTATTTAAATTCTCTACTACATCTTTAGCAATTGGTAGTGCCTAATATCCTCCTCTGTACCTTATTTTTATAGTTTCATACTAAACTAATTTTCTTAAGCATATTTTATGACTCTTAAACATATGTTCTGTAAAACTAAGATGTAATAACACAGACAAGTTCAGGAAGCACATTATTGAGCCAACTGGAGCAGGTTTCTTTGAGACTCTCTGGGGTTCTTTGTGCACTAGTATGCACTGTGGATCTTCAGGAAATATTGCCTTAGAATGTCCTGTTTGCCTCTTTATTTAGTGCTTCTAATTTTGCTGTTGATGGTGCTGGGGATGGGGTTTATTAACGAATACATGTATTGTTACAGTTTTCACCAGAGCACAGGAGAGGACAAGATTAAAGTTAAGAGAAGCCTTGCAAATGATCAAAGGTAATACTGACAAAGTTTCTCTTTCTCACTACTTTGACTTTTGGGTAGAGAATGAAAAGCATGAGATAGGAGAGAAAATTTTAATCACGCAGCACATTTGAATTATTTCTTTAGCCCTAAAGAACACTTTCTTCTTATTGTTAAAACAGACTGGATAGTAATGTACATCTGATGAAAGATAATTCAGAAGTAGAGAATTTAAAATGGATAGATTATTATTTTTAGTATCTCCAGCTTATTTATGGTAACCCATCTTCTCTTATTTGAAAGTGCAAAGAGACTTCCAAAGAAAATAGCTTTATTTTAGTAAAATGTGTATATATGATAACACCTAAGAATATAGAAAATAGATGCCAACATGTTTTTAACATTTAAAGCCATCAGCTTATTTTCTGAAGTCCCCATTTTAAAACTTTTATCATGGTCATGACTCACCCATACAGGTAATTTAATAGATATGTCCAGCATAGTTGATCAATTGGCATATGAAGATCAAATGTTCAGAGTGACATAAAATAAAAACCTAAATTCCTTTCTAAATGGAATAAATTCAGTTGTATTCAGATAGTATGTTGGATCTCCATCGAATTTTTTTAAAAAAAACTCTGTGGAAAAGCAAAAGTTCTCGTAAGTCTTGCTGGATTTCAACCGACGGAGTTTGAGGTTATGGATATACCACTCTGACGATGCAGTTGGCTTCTTTTCAGATGATATAGCCTTACTGTGAGAAAATAAGAGTAAAATTTCATGTGAGAGTCAACAAGAGAGCTTTCTTCTTATTTTTTTCTTTTGAAGTTCTATCAGACCATGTTATTTTTGTATATATATTCAGTAGACTGGATTGAGCCATCTGATGAGGAAAGGCGTTTTCATTTCTGATAGTGTTCCTTTTCCTTTCTGACCTGGAGACAAAAGAGATAATTCTCTTCCACCCCTTCTGCTAGATCGTATTGAGGTTTCAGTCACGTACAGCAACAATCTCAATCCTTTTGCTAGAAACTTCATCTAGCCATTGGGACAACCCTAGTTTGGGGGACCAGTCATGGTGGCCCCTCTTCTGCACTCTCTTTCTGGTTTATTTTCTGTGGTTCTTCTACTACCTGTTCATACCCAGACCAGCCATCATCAGTAGATGTCAACACCCCAGAAACTATGGCTTGAAAGATATTACAATTTGTGGAATCTCAGTTTCCTAGTCCTGTCATCCCAATGAGTAATGTCAGAGAAACTTACAGGAAGAATGAACCAAGGCAATGCGTGTGGGAAAAATCTACACATTTAGTTGTTTTATTTATTTATTTTGGGTCTGAACTCTTGGCATTTTAATATTCATTTTCACAGCCTTTCCTCCACGTTTTTTTTTCTATTCTCTCATCACTCTTACGCTCAGCAATGAATTTTTAGAGCCTCACATAGTTTTTTCTCAAAACCACAGTCTACTGGTTTTACCTATGTTCCTTTTTTTTCAGACTTTTCCTTTCGACTTGATTGTATCATGTAACGCAGACCATAGTTTCACGTAATGCTATCATTCTCTACCACCTAGACAGACAGGAAACCAAAGCCGCAGACTGATTTATTCAAATAAAGAGAGGCCGATGGTCACAGCAGATAGAACTTGGCTGTGTAGAACCATAAATGAGTTTCTGTTTTCAGGATGAGAGAGGAAGACAGCACAGATAAGACCTGAGAAAATACACGGCTATTCTCGAATGGCTTGAGTGTAGGGATTCAAGATCTCCCACAATACATTGTACGAATTGTGTTCTCAGTGTGCGAGAGGAGTAGAAGTTCACAGTGGTAACTCCGATGTTCTCAGTAACTGGAGTGGCAAAGCTTATCTTCAGATAATTAATCAAGGGATGCTTTTTCCTTAGGCCCTTTAAACAATTAAGCTATCACAGTTCACTGTTATGTTCACATCTATGTTTGCCTCATCCTAAAATATGCCTTATATATGAATGGTAAGCGGGAGATCACTGTAAAGATACCCAGCTCTTGGAGTTAATTGTGAGAACAGTTGAACATTTTGTCCCGGGAAGGAGCACACATATGTAGGAGGGGAGAAGTTGAGTGATTCTTCAATTTCTCGTAACCTTAAACAGCAAATATTTCACTTATTCCTTCTTATTTTTGTAGCACCAAAAGTATATTATTGCTCTATTTAATGTTTATATTCACAGAATTTCATGAATATTCCACCGCTTCTCTGATATGTCATGGATTTTTTTTTTTTTTTTTGAGACAGAGTCTCATTTTTTTATCTTCAGTAGAGTGCTGTGACGTGATAGCTCATAGCAACCTCAAATTCTTGGGCTCAAGCGACTCTCCCGCCTCAGCCTCCCAAGTAGCTGGGACTACAGGCACCCTCCACGACTCCCAGCTATATATATTTTTAGAGACAGGATCTCATCTGGCTCAGGCTGGTCTTGAACCCGTGAGCTCAGGCAATTTACCAGCCTTGGCCTCCCAGAGTGCTAGGATTACAGGCGTGAGACACCATGCCTGGCCCTTCATGGTTATTTTAAAAGTAATCCTGCCACTTTGACTTTGGCACGTGGACAGTACCAATCTTGATAATACAATGCCTTGTCTTATGTTGTTCAGTTCTGCTCAGAATAAGGAGAAGGTAAAAGTTATGTTGTAATATGAGCTTTCCTATTTAAGGGAAAACATTTCTCCTCTGCTTGACAAAAAATGTCATTTCATTTTATCTCAGAGTTTAAGTTTTGATTTCTGCTATTGACAATAACAGTGATTATTGTTAAGCAGAAAATTATGTTTCTTTAATTTGTGGAACCAAAAGTTTGTTGGGGCTTCTAGGATACATCTCTTTGCTTTCCATAGAGATAGTTTCTTTTAAAGGTCTTCAAGATCAGATATTTTAATAACTTTCTTCAGTAATAGGCTTGCTGTTCACAAAGTATATTTTCAGTACTTACTCTGTAACTTTTCATCATACAAAATACTCGGGAAGATGGAAAATCATTTGTCACTCTCCTGGAGAAATTTTGCCACATTTGTAAACAATAATGCTCTCAATCATTTCAAAATGTAAATGAATTGGAATTCTAAGTTTTCTTTACTTTATTTTTGGCCATGAAGGAATAATGTAGAATTAACCAGAAGTACAGCCCTTTCTTGTGCGTATCCTATAAAAATGTTAACATATAATATATTATGATTGGTATTAAAATATTTCTATCAATTGATAGGGTGATGTGATTGAATTATACGTGTAATATCCCACAGAACCTATTCCTATTTCAGTGCATTTGATAGCGTGCACAGCAACAGAGAACGTCTGTGAGCACTGTGGTGCGTGTCTTAAGTCTCAATATTCATGGGTGTCCCTCCATGTCCAAATGGTTTTCCCACCATATAATAACCAACTAATCAACAATTCCAGCAATAATTCTCTCTGAAATGTTTCCCCAGGATGGTGATTTTGGCCCTTCTAGTTTACAATGCTACCAACAATACTAACTTAGAAGGAAGAACCATCCAGCAGAAGCTCTTAAAAAATAACGAGTCCCTGGAGGAGGGTTTGTTCCTGTATACAGTGAATGTGAGGCAAATGGGTAAGTGGCTTTAATGTTTTTATAGCATGTATTTTATATGACTATGTATGTGGGTTTAATTGAAAAAACACATATTCTTCCTCTATGTGCTTTTTGATTATGTTAAAATATATTTTTCTATTGATGAAATTTATCCTAGTGGTGATCTTAGAATACGTGAAACAGCAAAAAAAAAAAAAAAAAAAAAGGAATCAGCTCAGCACCTTAGGAATGCAAGGGAATGAAGTAGGCAGATGAGAGTTGATACTTTATTTTATCAAAGATTTCAAATATTTGATACTTTATCAAAATATTTCAATATTTTGAAAATATTAAGAATACATGCATCTGAGCAAAATGCCAGAATAACCTTGACCCTGACCATCATTGGCTTCAAACTCAGGGATAAAGGGAGTATATATAGATATGTTTGTAGAGGACATATATGAACTCTAATGTGGTAGATAATATAGAAGGCACTTTCTTATTGAAAACATCTCCTTTTCTTATGTTTCCTCTCTGGGTTAACAATTCCACTGTCTTTGTAGCCGTACGCCAAGAAGGTGGGTGTTCTCTTAGAGCTAGAAGAAGGTCTTACTTGGATACCATTCACATCCTAATCTCCAGACACACATGGGGCACTACCTCCACTTCCCTAAATAGGCCATACTCCTTTCCATGTCTATAATATGTCTTGGCCTAAACTGCTCTTCTCTACTGCCACTGTCCACCAGATTATCACCTGTCTGTCTTTAAGGACAGGTCCAGAGTCACCTGTTCTAGGTAGCCTTTTCTGATGTCATCACATATAAATGGACATCACCACCTTTGAGCCTCCACTTCATAGTGTTGAGATACCTATAGCATTATACACATTAGAAGTCCCTAGTCTTTGGCTGGATGTATTTATGTTCTTACACATATTTTCTTTACATAGTAATTTCTATCTTAAATTCATGTTTTGGTTTTTCTTTTAATCCTTACTTCCCACATGCCCCCAGATCCCAGCACATTCTCTGGGACTTGAATACTTGTTGAGTAATTTCTTGAATGAATCTTGATGGGAATATTTGAGAAAGACAAATGTTCAAAAATATGGACAACAGAAACTAATTGTAGTGATGTTGTTGCACGACTGTGAATCGGTACACGAGTAGAGATCAAAAGAAAAGAAAATATTGACACTTTATGATCGGGAGATTGAAGTAGAGGAAGCCAATATTCCCGAGCCAGGAAGAAGGTGATTATGACGAAAGTCAGAATCACAGGGTAGTAAAGAACCAGGCAGTCTCCATTGTGCCGATGTACGTGATTACAGAGAACTCACAGAGATGGAGGAATGCAAGTAACAATAATGATGATAATAAACTGTTTCTAAGCCTCTGCGGGAAAATATTTGCTACCTAACAAACAGTGCTTTGGGGAGCAGGGAAAGCACGGCCTGTTACCCTTTTCCATATAGAAGTCTCCGCAAAGAAGGAGCTTGCCAAATGGTAGTTTATATTTGACTGTGAGCCCTGCAAGGACCAGCTACCCTTTGTCCTCAGAGGATGGAAGATCCTAGGACAACTCTCTCTGCATTCCTCTGGACATTTAGTTTATGCCACTTAAACTCTATATTTTATTGTTTTCCTGCAAATGGGTCTATGGAGAAATGTTTCTACTTTCTGTCAATTTAGAAATAAAAGGCCCAAACTGGACCATTTTAAAGCTTAGACTTTAAATGGGCAAGTTGTATGGATTTCCAAGTTTTGACCATAATATCGGTTCCTGGCAGTCCAGTATCACTAGCTGTTGTTCAGTCAACTTATTGTTGCTTATGGGTTGCTATTACTCTGATTTTTTTAAAATTGTGAAATCTGAATCGTTTATGTTGTGACACTTTCCTAGAGAGTTTCAACGAAAACGTGGGATATTTTAGGGATAAAGAAGGGAGGATAAGGCATGGAATTTGCTCACAAGTGCCTTCCTGCCGTTTCCCTTGAAGCTTCCAGGCAGAGGGTAATCCCAGAGCAGCCAGAGTATTTCTATAAAATACGCTGACAACTCAGTGATGACAGGATTGGTGTGCTATTTTCTAGGCTTTCCCCCTTTTAAAAAAGATCAAATTTTGAATTTTTCAGGATGATTTTTATTTTCCATAGTGTTTAATTTTCAAATGAAATGTATTTTCCTCATGTTATCTGCAAATGATTTGCATTAGGATGATAATGTATGTTTCCTGTTTATCCTCACAGAATGTTTTTTACTTAATGGTTTTGAAAGATGCACTTCTCTTCATCTCTGAAATGTGTTCAATGCTTGTTTTTCCTAATTTCTCATTTTTTTTTAACATGTTGTGAACATAAAACACTCGTATTTTAGTATTACATAAAATAAATGCCTAATGAGCAGGATTGCCCTTTTGCTTTCATCTGCAACTTTAACTTCAAAGAATGAATGAATATTTGGTTGGTTCTCATTTTCAAGTAAGTACCTGTCCTGCTGAGGAGGAACCCAAAGGCTATTTCTGGCCAAACATCGTACCTTCAGAATACACCATGAACTGTCCAAAGAGGCCTGGCTATTTTGCTACACGGACATGGTAATGCTTTCATTGGCTCTTGCCAGCAAAACTCTCCATTGCTTACCTTCTCAGGGTTACATTTGCTGCATAGCAGTTCTCTTGCATGTGTACTGGGTGGAAAGAAGGACAGGAACCTGTGTGTCTGTGTGCCTAATCATACTCTCCTGGGAAATAAAGTAGATAAGTTATCCAGAAAGACGCTGTTTCCCTCCCAGCCATCTGCTAATCGAGTCCTCCCCAAACAAAGATTGAAGAATTTTGAAACCAAAGGGTGGCAACAGAGCCCAGCACCTTGTGCATGGATGAACCTGGCCCCCTGAAAGCTTTGCAACATGCACTGGAAAATCCAAAACTTTTAAACTATTTTGAGTGATTATTGTGATGATGGGACAGGAGGCAGAGAGCAAATAAAGAGGAGATGCAGGCTGGGTGAGATCTGCTGAGGGAAATTGTCAGGATATAGATTTTCCTAAATGTTGACCAGAATCCTAAGAGACAAGACTATGGCAGGGATTCGCAGAATAGCCGGTCCAATTCAGTGCCTCCTCCTCCTTCCCAGTCCCAATTAGAGTTTTTTGGAGGGAATTCAGAAATGCAAACTATGTAAGTTTGAGTATCTATTGCTGTGTTTGACACTTGGTAGGAAGGAAAGAAGGAAGCTTGGAAGATGTATGGACTTGAGTCTGAACTGTGACTCCACCCAGTATTTTAGTATTACATAAAATAAATGTAATGTGACATTACATTACATGTAATGGTGTGTGACCTTGGAATATTCTTTGACTTAAATCCATTTCCTTATCTATCAAATGTGGATTATAATCTCCTTTACAGGTTCATATGAAAGAAAAATCAGATTTTACCTATAAAATTCTTAAAGCACTGCTGTCCATGATGTATGCACTGATTTTTTCCCAGTAAGAATTTTTTGTATGAGATTTATTTCAAATTATTATAGTTTTACTTACAAAATAAATTTAGATATCAAGGCAAATTATAAAACTTATCAATATATTTTGTCAGTTCTGATGCCATTTACACCATAGTTACAAGATCTTTTTTGTTTCATAGTTATTCCAATGCAGCCAACTCATCAGCCTACTGGGGGCCCCCTGATACCTCTGACTGTTTACGTAAGTGAACAATTTTTCTTCAGTTCTCAGGGATAAAACGAAATGGCTCCCTGCTTCATCATTTTCATTGTCTTCCCCTGTTCTTCTGCTGTGTAGTGCTACTTCAGTATTAACAGTCAGGCAAATGATTGTTTCATTAAGATAGAAAATACATTTCTTTCCTCATCCTAACTTTCTGTTCTATTCATTCTGAAAGAGACTGGAAATAGTAAGGAAATTCCAGAGAAGACTTTAATACATAAATTGATACTGGTATCAGTGCTGTAATTTCATTTTGTTTTAAAATTGCAAATAGATACTTATTCGGTGATTCTTGGGGCATTTTTCTTAGAACCATGGATAGTCATTGGGCCCTCCAAGTTATTTGTATCTCACTTAAGAGGGAAGTTAGTCTCTGTGTATAAAGAAAAGGAGTACTTCAGTACTAATAAGAAGCCAGCAGATGATCTAATGCACATCCACGTGGGAGAGGAACTGAACTCAGTTCATGTTGGGGGTGTGGGGGATGAAGGAGGGGATTGGGGTCCTCCACTGGGTGGACACCATGTAAGGGTATGTGGTGCACCACTAAGGTGCAGGACAGACCTACAGGAGGGACTCTAGCTAACAAATGCAAACATCATAACCCAGTTGTTTGTACCCTCACATTAACTTGGGGAAAAAAAAAAGAAATGGAATACTATTCAGTCATGAAAAGGATGAATTAATGCCTTTTGCAACAATTTGGATGGAACTGGAGACCATTACCCTAAGTGAAGTATCTAAAGAATGGATAAACACCACATGTACTTGCCATTAAAGTAGAACTAACTAATGGGCACACATGTGCACAGAGGGAAGTAAAACTCAGTAGAAATCAAGCAGGGTGGAGGGCAGAGGAGAGGATGGGCCAATACCTACCGAACAGGTTATGATGAGCACTGTTTGGGTGATGGGCACATTTAGAGCAGTTGTTACAAAAGGAATCTATGTAACCAATGTAATGTAATCTATGTACCTCTTTAATATTTTGAAAAAAAGAAAAGAAATATAGTAGAACCTTCATAGTTGACCACCTCCCTGCATCGACCATCTCCTTAAGTTGACCTAATTTTCCATGTGGACATTGACCACACGCACGTAGTGGCACAGGAGGCCTCGTTCCTTATGTTGACCACCTCTGTGTTGTGGCTGGTTTGTTACGGTCCCACGGTTGGTCAACTTAGGTTCTACTGTGTTATTTTCCTGGGAAGATAGTGAAAGGGAGTACAGATAAGAACCCTACTTTCCTGCTTCAACTTTAAAGCAAAATATTACATTGTACTTTAAATCCTTAGAGTGTACAAAATATGCAGGTAAAATGTTGTGTTCTGTCTTCTACCCTTTTTTTTGTAAACAGCTCCAAATGAAGTTGCCAATGAGATTTTAAATACGACTGATGGGCAGAACTTGACCTCAGCTGATATTACCAACATCGTGGAAAAGGTCAAAAGAATTGTGAATAACGAAGACAACATCGATATAACGCTTGGCTCAACTCTAATGAATATATTTTCTAATATTTTAAGCAGTTCAGATAGTAACTTGCTTGAGAGTTCCTCTGAGTAAGTCTTTTTCTTTTTTTGAAGAGTAATAGCTGTTGGATAGATATGATGTTATGTGATTTCTCACCTGTTGGAATACTTCGTGCCTAGACTTTATGATTCAGATTTCTAAAAGATACCTTGATAGTTCGCAAGGTCATTCATAGCATGAAGTTAAAACTTCTTTATTTTATTGTTTGAGAAATACAGTTTGAAAAAAATGATCATAGTTGTTATGTGGCAAAAAAAATATGTGTGTATCTATACATATACAGGCTGTCCATAAAGTTCATGTGCAAATTTAAAATAGTTTACTATAAACTATATATGTAGCATAATCAGTATTTCATCTTTTAAAAAAATTCAATGTGTATATAGTTATTTCAGTTAGTATATTATATTGAGGTGTTTAACATTTTTTTATTCCTTCCCTTCAACCACATTTTTTGATGAAAGTTTCATACTTGTTAAAATCTATTCTTTACCATACTTTTTCTAAAAATTAGTAAATATTTTTAAAGTGTCTTACAGTTCATAAAACACCACATTATTTCTTTTGATTCTCAGTAAGTTATAAGGTAGGGAGGGTATTTTTCATGGAAGGAAATAAAGGCAAAGATGAATGAGAACTAATATTCGTTTTTCATTTTTTTAGAGACAGGGTCTTTATTGCCCAGGCTGAAGTGCAGTGGCTTACTGTGACCTCCATCTCCTGGGCTCAAGTGATCCTCCTACTTCAGCCTCCCAAGTAGCTGGGACTATAGTCGTGTATCAGCATGCATGGCTAATTTTTTAAAATTAATTTTTAATTTTTTTTTAAATTTTTTGTAGTGATGAGGTCTTGCTATGTTGCCAGTTTTGAACTCTTAGCCTCAAGCAATTCTCCCACCTCAGCCTCCCAAAGTGCTGGGATTATAGGTGTAAGCCACCATCCCAAGCCAAAAAAACAATACCTTTTAAGAAAAACTTAGCTTTTGATTTTCCTTAAGGCAGATTTTTCTCTTGGGGTTGCATTCATCACTTTGATTCTATGTTTTAACTGATAGTATTGTGTTTTGGAGTAATTTTCTGGGTATTCATGTTGAGAACAGAAAATTAAAATACAGTTTTATGTGGTTTGTATTTTACCGTGCAGGAAACCACATATGTTCATGTACCTTTGTATAACTTAACAGTGGTATCGTTATCATTTCTTTAGAGCTTTAAAAACAATCGATGAATTGGCCTTCAAGATAGACCTCAACAGCACACAACACGTGAATATTACAACTCAGAATCTGGCTCTTGGAGTATCATCCCTGTCTCCTGGAACAAATGGAATTTCAAATTTTAGCATTGGTCTTCCAAGCAATAATGAATCTTATTTTCAGGTAATGAGTCAGAATTTCTTTAATTTTAATTGACTAACTAAAGCGTACAAAACTTGCTGATCACTTAGCAATGGCAACTTCAAAGAAATCCTGGTCTACGAGGTGCTGTTCAAGTCTGAACCTTGGTTCAGTTTAACAATAGCAGTAGCCACAAGGTCTTGCAGAAGAACCCGGAGGTGTATTTTCATAATCTGGATGCCAGAGCGCCTAGCTAAGCTTCTGCAAGAGGTGGTGCTGTAGCTAGGTCTGAAGAGGTGGTGCTGTAGCTAGGTCTGAAGAGGTGGTGCTGTAGCTAGGTCTGAAAGCATGAGTAGGGCCACTATCATACGAATAAGGGTGAGTGTCTGTTCAATCGCAAGGAAGCTTTCCCAAAGGTAAAGAAAAGCAGGATTCTCTTTGCTAGTGGTTCTCAACTGAATATTAGAGTCTTCCGGAGGACTTGTTAAGGTAGTTTACTAGGCCTTATCCCTAGAGTTTCTAATTTAATAGGTCCTGGGTAGGCCCTCCAAATTTGCACTTTTACCAAGTTCCCAGGTGTTGCTAATGCTGGTGGTTTGCAGGTCATGCTTGGAGAATAAATAAGGCGAAGTCTGGGAATGCAGAGGACAGCAAGTGTGGACAAGGAGGCTGGGGCAAGTGTAAGGCTTCCTTGACATGTTAAAGGGACACCTCAGTCAGTAATTTTCAAGTTCCTACTATGTGCCAGTTTTAGCCACCAGGGCAAACAAAATGAATGAAGTGTCATTCTTGACCTGGTGGAGTGTATGTGTGGAGCATAATAGCTGCAGAGATAGATCAAACTGAAAATATAAAAAGTCTATAATCAGAATACAGAAAAGACCTTTTTTCTACTGTAGACTAGGGCCTCTTTTGAGTAATTCTGTTTTATAATTCTAAGTAGAAACTTGATCAAACTCCATCTCATCCCAAGACCATTAGGAAGAAAGCACCCTTTGGCCTGAGCTATGGTTTCAGGAAAAATGGTGTCCGAGAGCATTCGTGAAACTTCAGTTGTTATTTCTTTGTAGAGGTAACTCAGTCTCTGCAGTCAGCAAATTAATTAGTGTCTCTCTCTGTTTTTCTCTGGAAGTTATCTTTCATTAAGTGTCTTGAGAAAATCTCAAAATCTGATCATACTAAATGTAATTCTTGCATTTGAAAGTGTTGACTCATTTATAGATTTCTCAGCCTTGGTTAAAAGCAATGCGTTTTCTCCTCTTTCACAGAAACACAACCTAAATGAGATCATGGGTCTGTTTGTAGGGGGTTTATCCGGGAGTTGAATGACTGCTGTACAGACACAGGGAAGCCTCAGTCTTAGCTAACGTGATGCTTGGCAGTGCTCTCTCGTCTTACTCAGCATATGGATTAAGTTGTCATTACCAAGTAGTTGTGATTACTCAACCAATACATCTCTCTGTGTGTGTGTGACAGATGGATTTTGAGAACAGACAAATGGATCCACTGGCTTCTGTAATTTTGCCTCCAAACCTACTTGAGAATTTAAGTCCAGAAAATTCTGTATTAGTTAGAAGAGCGCAGTTTACCTTCTTCAACAAAACTGGACTTTTCCAGGTAAGTACTCATGGAATTAATGTTCACTGCAAGTGAAGTTCGTTTGCTCAAAGCTAAAAATAAAAGTTTAGATTCTTTTGATATATATTGGGAGCTTTCGAAAAACGAATCTGCTATATTTTTAGGAACAAAAATTTCTAATAGCATTGTATATTTTATTTCTGATCATAATATGCTTATTAAAAGATGTATTGATTATAATTTTTAAAATAAATTAGGCTATGACGTGCATCATACACTTAGAAATTGAATTAGCAAAGAAGTTATGATTTATTATTCCTTTTGCTAAATATTTTATGTTCCCTAGTCACTTAGACCATTAAAGAAATTGTACACCCAAGGAAAAGATTATTTTTTTTTAATGTAGCAGGGAGCTCTGTTTACATAGTGAGCAGCATTCTTGGCTTTAATCAGTTTTCCCATTAGTATTTCAAGTGACCTTTGGCCCCCACACATCCGCAGAGTCAGATGGCATTGTGCTGAGCACATATTATCATTTTTATTGGCATCGTTTCTAGATACTAAAGGGTCCACTGCCAGCAAACACTGGTGACCTCTAGATGCCTTTGTAAATACAATCTGGAGAAGTTTTGCTGAGCCATTTTTTAAAAAATAAAAGTTATCTGTTAAATTCAAGATACCCGCGTCTATCAAACAATGTGGCCTACATAACAGAAAGCAGCAAGTCTTAGGCCAAACAGAACTGTTTCTAATAGAAACAATCGTGTACAGAAGAACGGCCAAGTAGCTTATACAGAAGGGAAGGGAACACCGTGGAATCTTCAATAGCAATGAACTCCAGAATTTAAAAATGTTGTTAACGAATGTTTTAGGAGTAAGCTATATAAAAATATTATCATTTATATATCTTACATAAAAACATATAATGTATCAGATTTTCCAGCTATGAACACATACCACTGCTCTTGTTAAAATGATTGAAATTGAAGGCTTATGACAATGTCACCTTCAAAAATAATATGAAAAATGCAAAGGTGCCATAAAATGTGAACTTGGGAAGAGCTTGAGAACACTCCCAGAGGTGTAAGAGTCTGTTATTGTTTTACTTTTACTCTTTTCCACATCCTTGTGTCCTCCTCCTTCAAGATCTGCCAATCAAAGTTGATAGTAGGAAACACGTGTTTGGTGTTAAATTTATAGGATAGTGAAAAACATATTAAGGCTTCCATGGTAGCTTCCTACCCTAGTGAATAAGAGGAGTATTCCCTTTTTAATGAAAGCACGGGGGTATCACAGCTGACTTGACTGATATCTTACAAGGGTACAAGTGAATTCATACAAGCAGAGTATGAATATCTTAACTCAATAAGAAAATGGCATGAAGGTTACATTAACCAGTTTGATGAGAGTATTTCAAAATGTATATGAAAACACCACACTGTACCCTGTGATTGCATTAATGTACACAGCTATGACTTAATATATAAAAAAAACTAATACAAAGCTATATTCTGGATGTTGAGTTTTGTTTGGAATTCAAGAAATCAATCAGGTGTTCCAAAACAACTGATTTACAAGCTGTGCTGTGAAGAGGAATTCAGGAGGTTTGACAACAAACACAAAGGGAAGAAAAATATTGGTCCAAATCATTGTGTGGCATGGATTTCATTTCCTGATAGCCTTCCACCGAGGTGGACCCCGCAGATGCTGGCAAGGATCCTACATTACACTGAGGTGTGAGTTGGTCAACACATCAGGCTATTGGCATGGATGTCAAAGATGAATTGCTTTTTATTTTCCACACCATATTTCCTTCGTACTTCTCTAAAGGAAAGGCACTTCATCTATTTGCTAGAGTAGGGAAATGATCTAATTGTTTCATAGCTTTTTATGAGTTTATATTACTTATGGGCTTGCATTGTTTCAGATGTTAACTAACTGACATCAGTCCCCGCAATCAAGAATGGAGTTTTATGAACATCGCCCTACAATATTGACGCATAACATTCCCTCAACGTATTTATTATAATAAGGGAAATAGTGCAGCTCCTTCAGGAAAGCCAGCAATGTGATGTTATAAACAGGATGTTCTAGAATTGAAGATCTTAAGTGTAAAAGTTGCTGACAGTTTGCTTATTTTGGAGCACCAAAGTAAAATAAAAGTGTGTGCCTGCTAACACATGCAATTTTTTTTTTGTCTTCCAAAGGACGTCGGACTCGAAGGTAAAACCTTAGTGAGTTACGTGATGGCGTGCAGCATTGGAAACATCACCATCCAGAATCTGAGCGAGCCTGTCCAAATTAAAATCAAACACACAAGAGCTCAGGTAAGAAAACGCTACCAAGACCGACTGAACAGAGTCAGATGATTTTAGAGAATGATCAGACCTACATAATAAAAAGGCCCTTTTCATGAGGGACCAGTTTTCGAGAACTGGAGAACAGCTTGTCGGGCTGAGCTCAGAAGTCAGAGAAAAGAGCAGCAGCGGGGGAGAAATGTGTCTCCTCTAGGACTCAGTAGTCAGAAGGAGAATGCGACTAATGGAAAGGGGCTGCTCTTTTTAAGAAACAACACTCATTACTTCAAATAAAGCAAGTCAAGGGAGAAACGGGAGGTCGGACTTCCTTTCTGAGAGGTTGGCTTGGGGAAGCTCTTGGTGAATATTGCTTTTCTTCTTGTTTCGTTAGCCTCGCTCTCACCTGTTTATTTGATAAAATTCACTGGGCCTTCTTGTTGTCACAGAGGACTGAGGCAGAGGCTTTCTCACTTTTGTAGCAGGTCCTTGTCATGAGTCTGCCATTTTTTAGATAGGCAGGTAGGTAGGAAGAGAGTGAGGACTGAAATGAAGTCCCCTGCCTGCTAGCCTGCTAGGTCACGGACCCCCGAGACCTCTTTGTTCTGCCCTTTGGCTTCATTTGTTTTAATCCCTTCATTTAAAAAAGGGGATTATTGTTTTATTATGGTAAAATATATGTAACATAAAATTGACCATTCCAGTGATCTGTACAGTGGGTGACATAAAGTACATTTACCACCATCCGCCTCCAGAGCTTTTCCATCTCCTCTAGCAGAAACTCTGTTCCCATTGAGTATGAATTCCCTATTCCCCCCACTTCCCTCCCCATGGCAGCCACCCTTCTGCTTTCCATGTCTGTTAATGTGGCCACCCTGAGCGTCCTACGTAAGTGGAAGGACATAATATTTATCCTTTTGCGACTGGCTTTACTGCACTTAGCATCATGTCTATAAGATTTATCCATGTTGTTGCATGTTGCAGAGTTTTCTTCCTTTTTTAAGCCTGGATAATATTCCATCGTATGTGCCCACCAGCCTTTGCTTTTCCCCTCAGCCATGAATAGGCACTTGGGTTGCTTCTGCGTTTTGGCTACTGTGAATAATGCTGCCGTGAGCATGGGGTCTACAAATAGCTCTCTGAGTCTCTGTTTTCAATTTGTTTATGTAAACACTTGGCCATAAAAGAGGATTTCGAAGATGATGTGTAATTATAATGTAAAAAGCTTTGCTAAATGCCAAGAATGGTCGCGGACTCAGTGTTCAATGATGGGACACACATATTTGGTAACCTATAAATCAGTGATAATATGATTCCTTGTGAGATAATAGGTGATCTTTATTTGAAGTCTTATGAAGAGAAGATCCTTCTAGATTCTGAAGTGCCTGGCATTTTCAGGTTGTATTGGCAGAGCTCAGGCTGATCTCTTTCTTTGTGAAACCCTTGGCATTTTAACTCTTTTCTCCATATTTAAATCACAGCATTTTAAACACAGTTTCACATGTTTATTCTTATGTTAATATAGGATGTGCATCATCCTCCCATCTGTGCCTTCTGGGATATGAACAAAAACAGTAAGTTTTAAAATATTGGTTTTCTTAATATAGATAACAACTGAATTTTAAACATTGTTAGACACCCCCGTTTCCTTTAATTCCACCCTAAACCAGAGTGAGTCACCCTGCAAGTGTAAAATGGCAGCTGGGCTGCCAAAGTTAGTTTGGGTAGCTTGGAAAGTCAGTTCTCATTTCTGTAACTTTTGGTAAGAAGTTGTAGGAAGAAACAGGCAGACTGGATTCCGTTTTCTTTTCCAGTTGAACAACCTTTTCGGTTTCAATTATTTGTAAAATTCAGTATACATTGGCATTGCCACTTTAAGATGAATACAGACACTCGCTGAATCTCATTCTCCTAGGGTGCACCTGACAGGCACGAGGCATACAAGTTCAAATCCAGATTCCAGACCTCAAATTATAAGGGGATGGGGCAGCAGACAAAAGGGATGTAAATACGGGAATCGTTATAATGAACGAGTATTCCTTGAAAGAGATTCACAGCTCCAAAATGATACTCAGCAGTCAAGAAAGGAAGGCAAAATTAATGGATAAACAAATAATTAGATCCAAGAGGTGGAAATCTCTTTGAGGGGAGACACAAGGGCTGAAACTCCTATACTCCTATTGCCTGTCCCCTGAGGGTCACTTCCCCTCCGGGTTCCTCACCAGGATTATTGTGGCCAAATTCATTCCTGTGTCCATAAGGCCTGATTTAAAAAAAAAAAAAAAAAGCCTAAAAGTGGCTAACACCCTTTTTAGTAGCAGTCCTTCTCACAGCTGGACAGGATGCTTTAAAAAAAATTCTTTGTACAGGTTTTTAAAGATCCAAATTTACTCATAGAGTTAAAAATATCACCTGGTATCTTAAAATATTATTCAAATAAACAGATCCAATACGTTGGCATTATATAAGTCGCTCATATTCCATTTTATATCATGAGAGATAAGATGCATTCAAGCCACTTATAACTCCTCACGTCTGTGACTGCTGTGTATTTAAATAGCATGTTCCGGGAAAGCAGACCCACTTTGTCTTCACAAAATGTAGACTGACCCTCCAACAAGAAATGTGTTGGCTACAAAGAGTCCATTAGCATGTAATACATCGGAAAAGGAGTATTCTTTTTATAGACATTTATTTTAAAATATGTTGAAAAATTGAATCAAATATTTTTGGAGCCCCCAAGGCACTCAGCAGTCCACAGTTTGACCAAATAACCACTAACTGCCCCCTTGGCACTGATTTAAAGTGATTTTCAGGAATCTAGATAATTCTGAGTATGGGTAGCTTTAATCACGGTATCTGTTTTACAAATAACCTCTGTAAGGCAGAAAAGCCTGAGGCCCATTTCCCTAAAGGTCTCGCTCACTCTTGAGAAGACACCAACCTGCTGTTTTTTCACACTGTTTGTGGATTCCTTCAACAGAAAGTGTCGGAGGGTGGAACACGTCCGGATGTGTGGCGCACAGTTCTGACGCGAGTGAGACGGTCTGCCTGTGCACCCACTTCACACACTTTGGAGTTCTGATGGTAAGGGGGAGTTTCTCAGCTCCTTTAGACCTGGTGTAACTTGGGAAAGCATTCCTCGTGTTTATCGGTCCACCTTCTTAGGCGGTGATGGTCTTCTGAATTATTTCCTGAATAATTTTTACCTGAATCGTGATTCTTGATGAAGCATCTAATTGGTAGAGATCATAGATTAAAAATATGTGAAAGTAATTATAGAAAAGAACTTGTTCTTTTTGGTTTTTTCTCACAGCATTAGCTGTGACGATAAATAATCCCAGAAAGAAGAAAATGCCCACGAAACCCTTGGGTTAAGAGAGAAACAGAGTCAGGGAGACATGGAGACAGAGGGGTAGAGAGGAAGGGATGGTTAAAGACCAAGAAAATGTTAGGTGATGTCTATGTGGAAGGGAGCTGTGAAGAGTGAGGTTAAAACGTCTTATGTTATGGCTCGCTCAGTGTGTTTGAAGGTCGCATTGTGCCAGGTGACCTCTACCCTGGACACTGTGGTCGGTCAGGACAGCCGAGCGGCTGGGATTGGAATGGGCCTTCAGTCCTGCTGCAGAGGTGGTGGGTGCCACAGTCTGTCACTCTTAGGCCTCCAAATCACTCTGGCCTTTCCTCCTCCCTCCTTTGCCGTGGCCCTGGGTCATCTATCTCATTATCTAGCTTGCCCAACAGTTTTCAGTAAAATTAGATCATATCCTACCAAAATTTCAAGATCCACCCCCTATCCAAAGACTTGTTTGAGTTCATCATAGACTTATACCTATGAGTCTAAGTCAACTTTTGACTCTACAGACACTTTCCCGGGGTTCAGGGCACCCTCTGTCTTGTAACGTGGCCATTGCTTCTATATAGTTTCCACAAAGGGACCCGACCTCATTTGTTTTTTGATAGGAGATAGGAGTAATGTGAACCGAGGCAATAAAGCTTTTCAAATTAGAATCACAGACATCAGGTCGTGTTTATCACCTCCCTGAAATCTTACACACTTCCTCCTGTGGGGACTGAGCGGAAGCAGTGAGGAGACGGGGTGTAGTTTTTGGCTCCTGCATCTACTTGGCCTATGTAAATGACCATTGTCAGTCGTGTGGCAACACAGCACGTTGTAATTTTCCTGACAGTTAAACTATAGCATGTTTTCCCTAAATAATTAAAAGAGAAAATGCAGTTTCTTTCTCTGTTCTCTTTTCTCCAAAAGTGACAGCAGGCATTCTTTTAGAAAATACTTATTTTTCATGATTTCTTGGAAAATGATGTGCATGTTATTAAGTCAAATATTAATCAGATAATCATAACAGAGTTCAGGCCAGGAGTGGTGGCACACACCTGTAGTCCCAGCTCCTCAGGAGACTGAGGCAGGAGGATTGCTTGAGTTCAGAAGTTTGAGGCTGCTGTGAGCTATGATCACCCCACTGTACTCCAGCCTGGACAACAGAGTGAGACCCTATCTCTAAAAAAAATAAACAAAAAAATTTATTCAAAGATGATTTATATACTGCCAGAGTTTGGCTGCCCAGTACTTTGAATAGCCAATTCCTTCCTATAGTGTTTAAATTTTATTATGAATTTGCAATTTTATGTATTTGTATAGATATGCATTTTTAGAGCTAACTTTGTGTTTTCCACCATGATGGCATTTGTAGTAGTATAAAGTTCTGGTAGAAAAGCTTTCTGGAATTTATCCTTCTGGGAATGTACCCATATCCTTTTCACTTTTCTAGAGCATCCAAGACTTTGTTCAGAGTTTTTTGTGATTCCCAAACTCTTTATTTATTTGTATATGATATTCCCAGAGGCCACATTGTCCCATGACACATTTACCATATGAGAAGTTAAAGAAAATGTATCCCATACCTGTGGTTCTATCTTCTAATGTACAAAATAGTCTCTTTGTAGTAAAATTTTTTAATGTTCTTAACATGAGGACATTTTTATATTGGCTAGTTCAGAAGGATAAATATTTTCATTCTATGAGTATAAAACATGAAAATTATGTTTAAATATGTAAACAGGATTATTAAATTTAGTTTTTTATTTTAAATTCTGGACTTGATTGGGTTTTCCAAGTCCACTGTCTTACCCAGATAGGTTTTCATGGTAGTGACAGCTCACTTGGGGAACCTTCAAGACCATGACTCATTTTCGTGGCCTGACAAGATCCTGGAATAACCAAAATATTGATTGAGGTAGCCCATCTGTGAGTCAGGTGGCTCTGACTCAAACCCTGTCCCATGTCCCTGCATGCCCTGCATCCCTGCAGTGCTTTGAGGAATTCCTGGGGGTGGGAGGGGAAGGCCCTTCACACTGGGGGTAGGAGGTGGGAGGGGAAAGGCCCTTCACACTCCCAGTCCCTGTTTGAGTTTCCTCACTGGGGGATCTGGGGGTGGGAGGGGAAAGGCCCCTCACCCTCCCAGTCCCTGCTTGAGTTTCCTCACTCTGTGCATATCATAGAGCTATAAGGATGCTGTGCCTCTTCTCTATGGCCTCAGTCAAACCCAGCACTGACTCACTCACGTTTCATTTCACACACACTCAGCTTACTCAAGGAAAAAGCATGAAACATACTTGTTTTCATATTTAAAACTTTGGTTGAGGGACCTGGTGGTTTTGCTCTTCCAGTTAAAACTAGTGTGCCAAGAGCTTGGGAAAGAACTTCAAGATAGAAAAGGATGTGCAACTCCTTCCTGAAAGAAAGCTGCATGCTTCTTATAGGTATTGATCCCTCCAAATACGGTAAATGGAACCTTCAGGATTGATTTCCATTGCTGTGTTCAGCCCCTGAGGCTGAGGTGCTCTGATGTTAGCAAGGAGCTCTTCTAGTGAGACAGCCATTCTCCTGAAGAGAGGGTTTCTTATGTCTGCTTTTGATGTTTTATGTAGGATCTTAAAATAAACCCCACCCCGATAGACATATGGAACACCAAAGTCCTCACTTTCATCAGCTACGTCGGCTGCGGCATATCAGCTATTTTCTCAGCAGCAACTCTCCTGACATATGTAGCTTTTGAGTAAGTATTTTCCTGTGTGCCCAGCCCAGTGCAAACCGTTTCAAATGTCGGTAAGAAGATTGCCTGGCCTTCCCGGAGCATTTCCACACTTTGTGAATCACATAGAGTGGTTCGGTTTTAACGTTCAGGTTTCTCAAAAGGTGCATCTTGCAGCCTGAATTTTCCAGCTGTGGAATCTTAATTTATCATGACTGTCGTTCTAGTTAGAAAATGTATTCAAATCTGTTACCAATGATGAACATTTAAGTAAAAACGGTGTAAGAGGCTTTCTACATTGTAAAAGATGAAAACGTTTGGCTTTGTAAAACTTATAAAATTGGTCTGGAAACGGGAAATTTTTAAAAAAGGATCCTGCACTCATTAACAAATCAAGAAAGTGCCCATGATTTAGAGACATCGGTTTGAATAAAAGTGTCATTCTTACAACGCTAGACTTTTTCCTGAATTAAAGGTGGTCTATCGAAACCAATTGGGAATTTTGTGAACAATTAGAAACAGTTTTGAAGTAAAAGGAATATTTAAAAAATCTTCCTGACTTGCCGTATAGCCTTACATGTCTTTACCCCTCCTTCTGGCGGAACCACGTCAGGGAGAGGGTGCTGCCGTACCCGCTGCACACCTGTATAAGACAGGAATTTCCTATCTGTGGGGCAAGGATTCATTTATAAGGTTAGTGAGCGCCTCTATTTCTTTTTTCCCTCTTTAGGAAATTGCGAAGGGATTATCCCTCCAAAATCTTGATGAACCTGAGTACAGCCCTGCTGTTTCTCAACCTCATCTTCCTCCTGGACAGCTGGGTCTCCTCCTTTCACGTGGACGGACTCTGCACGGCCATCGCGGCCCTTCTACATTTCTTCCTTCTGGCCACGTTTACCTGGATGGGGCTAGAGGCAATTCACATGTACATCGCTCTAGTTAAAGTATTTAACACTTACATTCGCCGATATATTCTCAAATTCTGCATCATTGGTTGGGGTGAGTCTCTTCCATTTTTTCCCCTTTATATTTGCACTAATTTAGAGGGTAGATGTGCTTTTCGTTACATGCGTAAGTTATGGAGAAGCCACATCAGGGCGTTCAGACTTTCACCTGGATAACATACTTTGTACCCATTTCTCAGCATCTTTTTTCCTGAAATGTTTTGGTTTTGTCTTTTCTGTCATGAAAGTTGCCACATTCTCAGAGGAGGATCCTTATTTTTAAAGACGAGTTAGTGCTGTGGAGGGAAACTTTTAAAATTGGGGCAGATATGGATTAGATATGCAATTCCTAAGGACAGGGCATTTCAGAACTGTGTCTTTTAAAAACTATTCAACGGCATGCATTCAATTCAAGAGTATAGGGAAAGCCCTCGCTCCTGAGTCACCACAAACTTATTTCCTGAGCCCAGAGCCAGCCCACCCAAGTCTGAAGAAGCAGCTGGCAGGCAGTGGTGCTTTTCCATCCTGCTTTGAAACATAAAGGCCAGCTCAGACTCATAGCTACACTCATCCCTAGACACAGCCTATTTCTTGGAAAGGAGGAAAAGAATGTTATTTTTGTGTATGTAACCAGAATACTTACAGAATTTTTGCCTTGACCTTTTTCACATGAGTCCTCCGTCAGGCATGGAGGGTTGGGATCTTCCCGTGCAGCTCCTTCCTTTATATGGGTTTCGTCTGTGGCCCACATTCTAGTTTTCTCATAAACCTTTTCAGATGGAAATTTAGAAGTGAGAGATGTTGCCAAGAAATTCAACACCACCTCAGGAGGCAGTAAAAGCATCTGTCGGAGAAATAGGGTAGAATAGCATTTCTCCTCTGAAAGTTGCATGGCGACACTTCAGAGATTCTTTCGAGAGAGAAGACTCTGAAGACTTCATAGGTCAATGTTCTCCCCCCAACTTTTCTAGTGATTTTTCTTTAGATTGGAAAGGCAAAATAAATTGCAGTGACCTTGTCTGCCTGAACTCTGCCATCCAACAAAGTGGCATTAATGAAACCACATTTCACAGTGCTGGATGCAGTTCAAATCACTTTCTAAGCTCTCCAGTGGGTCCCCGAAGCAAACAGAATATTTAAATATCTTTCATTTAAGAGTATGTTTTGATTGTTGCCAATAGGGAGTTGGGCATATTCCACACCAAGGCGGGGATTTTGTTGTTTGTAACCGAGTTGACAGTTGTAAGAGGTCTGGATCTGTGACACAGAGTGTGTGCCTGGACGCGCACGCCTGCTTCCTTTTTTCCCTATCCTTGCCATTATGAGTCCTATAAAGCAATTCCAGATGCTTCACAGGCGTTGTTTGTGTCTTTGTCTTTATATAACAGGTTTGCCCGCCTTAGTGGTATCAATTATTCTGGCGAGCAGAAACCAAAATGAAGTCTATGGAAGAAAAAGCTATGGAAAAGAAAAAGGCGATGAATTGTAAGTCATAGACTTTGGGGGGTGTGTTTATGGTGGGCATCTGTCCTTTGTTTCCTGAAATGCAGGATAAGTTTCATGCAAGTCATGAGGCTCTTGTTTTACAAGGCTGAGGTTTCTTCATACGTCTCTGCTAAGGTCTCTGCCACACAGCAGATGATTGTACCCGAATGCCCTGAGATGCACCAGCCACTTTGTGTACTTACATTGTACTCTGCCATCTGGGGGAATTCAGGGGGTGCCTGAGATACTGTCTTCTAGCCTCAGAGGACCCAGGCTATTTGGGGAGATTTCATAATACTCCCACCTCCTGCAACCCACACACATCTTCAGGAGAGTTAAGTAGCAGTATCCGACAGTGAGTGATTCCATACCAGTGTGAGTTTTATGCAGAAATGGAGAGAATCGGGAAATCAGTGAGTTCTTGAATAGTTTGGAAATTTCCCTTCAGACCGTGACATCCATCATTGAGATGAAGGTCCTCCTATTGCTCCGTTTGGGTAGTTCTGGCGTATTTTATCAGTCACATCATGGGTGCTCAGTAAGTATTTGTTGATGAAAAGAATTACTGAATGAAGCAGGAGCTTATTCCTGACGTGAGCCCTGTGGTGCCCCCGTCCACGCACAGCTTGGGGTTGAACAGCACTTCTGCCCCCTGTTGGCCGTCCGCGTCTGTGCTGCTCCCCTGGGGTCCTCCCGCCTACATTTCTAATGTCACACTCAAAGGGCTCTTTAAGAACTGGAGCAGAATCGTCGAACTAGGTCAGGGATTTCCATGATTTTAGGGGAACTTCCATATGTAAAGAAAGGTTAGTTCCAGGGATAAGCAGTATTATGGTAGGGACCTTTATGATACCATATATTCAAAGTAGAAATCAAAAAGTAAGTTCTAAATAAGGAAATTTAGAGAGTTGGTCAACTCCTATAGGACGTCTTAGTAAATTGCTGTGCCATAAGCAGCTCTGTTTGATTTAGAATTTGCTCTATGCCAGAATTATGTTGGGTTCTAGGAGTCAGAGATGTTCAGGACATCTTTTGCTTTTGCGCAGACTTTTGTTCCAGTGGGGAAGACTATTTCCACTGGAATTTTAGGATGGATATAATTGCCTTAAATCATTCATCTGTTTTTTGAGGTACCCAAGAATTTCCATAGCATTGATTAGGCACAAAGACTCCTGCAAATTGTGATACTTGTCAACTTTGCTCCTGGCGTACTCACGCATATGACAGTTTTCAGATGTCTTTCATCAACTGTCTGGTCTGTATATCACTCTAAAGATCAAGTATCTCTTCTCAATCTCATAAGGATGTTTTGTAATCAATGTAAACTTTGTAATTGTGCATGAGAAGTGTCCAGGTGAGAATCTCACAGTTGTATAATAGGGTCTTGCCTTATTAGAGGCCAGTGATATTAAGGGGACTTACGATGTCCATAGTAACAAACCCACAACTAGGTGGCTTAAAGAAGTTTAGGTATTTATTCCTCACAAATGACAAGAAACATGAAGTAGTAACCATTGGCATTGATTTTATGGTTGAAGTGTCAGAGCCAATAACTGCAGCTCACATGGCCTCTTTCTCTCCTGGACGGGGATGACCATGCAGCTCTAGAACTCACATTTGTGTTGGCGGCAGGAAGAGGGAATAGGGCTTTGCCAGTTGGGTCTATCAGGAATAGGTGTCCCCCAACCCCCTCAGCAGACTTCTGCTTCCCTATCATTTTGTCACACTGCCATCTCTTAAATACAGAGCCCTAAAGTGAGTTCTCAGATTTTCCACTCTTCCTGTATAGACACACAGGAGAAAAGGAGGTTAGACATGGCTGGGGGTGAGCCAAGCAAGAGTGTCTTCATAGAACACAAAATTCAAGAAGCCTGCCTTGCTTGGCAATAAGTTAACACTGATTGACTTAAATAACTAGACATTAAGGTTGTGGCCATCCATAGACCAAAAAAACCCAAAATCACTCAGATGAAGGCTGAAGAAGGCAAGTGAGGTCCAAGGGACTTTCTAAAGGTGTTCAAGAGAGAAACCTGCAGTGGTCCAGAGTAGGCCAAGAAAAGTTGGAGGGAGACGGGGCCTGGTCCTAAGTCTCTTTTTCTTTCTCATTTCTTCCTCTTCTGTTTTCAGCTGTTGGATTCAGGATCCAGTGGTGTTTTATGTGTCCTGTGCTGGGTATTTTGGAGTCATGTTTTTTCTGAACGTTGCCATGTTCATTGTGGTGATGGTGCAGATCTGTGGGAGGAACGGCAAGAGGAGCAGCCGGACCCTGAGAGAAGAGGTTCTGCGGAACCTGCGCAGTGTGGTCAGCCTGACCTTTCTGCTGGGCATGACGTGGGGTTTTGCTTTCTTACGCTGGGGACCCTTAAATGTCCTTTTCGTGTACCTCTTTTCCATCTTCAATTCATTACAAGGTAAGATAAATTGTATCAGGGCAATTTTTGCTTTCTAACTTTGTCACATCTGTGAGCAGCTTCACTTTGGGACAGATGCCACGTTAAGTTTCTACACCACTATTCCAGTGCAGGGCATAGTTGCAGACACAGCCTGGTCACTCCTTAAAAATGTCTTGAATGAATACATGGCATAGAATGTCAGTTTTCCTTTTTTTTTTTCAGCGATGTATCCTGAGTATATTAGTATACCTCGCAGATAGTGAGTGTCACAGCATCAGCCTGGCTCACAGCAGCCTCAAACTCCTAGGTGCAAGACATCCTCCTGCCTCAGCCTCCTGAGTTCAGCTGGGACTACAGGTGCCTGCCACCAAAGCCCTGCTTAGTCTTCTATTTTTAGTAGAGATGGGGTATTGCTCTTGCTCTTGCTCAGACTGGTCTCATACTCCTTCTGACCTCAAGTAATCCACCTGCCTCGACCTCCCCAGAGTGTGAGGATTACAGGCATGAGCCGCCCATTGTGCCTGGCCTCCTTGGCTTCTTGAATACCACAGTGAATAGCAACACTCTAATTCAGCAACTTTTGTCCTTTTATGAATTATATTGAACTTTTCACAATTAATTCAACAATTTAACAGTCATTTGCCAATGGCCTGCTTTATACAGAAATGCCAGGCTTCCTTCCAGGAGTTTCCATCATGCTTCTGATGCCATCATACGTACCATCAGTGTACTTTATCGTGGATTTCACTTTTAGGCTTAAGTGAATATAAATCTGCTTTTTGAAAATTAAATGACATCTTTTAAGATATTGACAATACCCTGTGTTGTTGAAACTCCCTAATGCTCAGAAGCATCGTGAGGCCAACATTGTAGAAGAAGTTGGGTGTCGGAGTTTGGAGGGTTTTGAGCAGAGCAGTGTGAATGGCTTAGCTGAGCATATCGGTCATGCAGTTGCAGACATGTGGGGAGGAAGAGGGACCACAGCTGAATAAACCTACACTGGAGGGGCCTCTCCCAAACAGGGGCACTGCCTTCAGGTGTGTTCTCAGGAAAGTCTGCACTTACCTGCAGGGGAGTCTTGTTCACTACAAACCTCTCTGCCTCCCAGGTCCTCCATTAGCTTGTGAACGGCAAAAAAAGTCTCTCATGTCGTAGGTGCTCCATACTATTTGTTAAATGAATGGATTGCTAAAGAAAGAACCCTTTGGGATGGCCTAAATCCAATCGGAGGCTCTTCTGACATTAATATATAGTAATTAGTTCAGCAAATTTTATTCCGGTTCACTCTCCCATGACACAGGCAGTATGTGGGCTCATTATCTTCAGTCGGTAGAGTAATAAACCCCAAGCACAACTGCAAAAGTTGTAGCATATGAATACACGGAGCTAGCTCTGTAAAGTGGGTATGCCCCTATTTAGTATTTTCTATAATATACAACATGAAAGTGCCTAAATAAATATTGACAGGAGTGTCCATTAGCATCACAAATTCCATGGTTTTATGTTTAAGGATTGTACATGAAAGGCACACTGATCTGCCAGGCCAGCCTCGGTTTTGCTTTTAGAATTTCCTGGCAGTTTCAGTAACCTTCAACAGCTCCAGTTGTCTGTTCAGCTCTGTTTCCATTAATGAGAATTGGGATGTTTTATTTTTTCCCAGCATGGGTCTCCTGTCAGCAGGGAAAAACGTTGTAAACCGTCATCAAGTCAGTGTTCTTCATAAATCACTGACCTTTAAGACTGATTTTCAATTATATAAACTCAGAACAGATTTCTACATATTTAATGATGTTAAAAGCACCTCCTAAAATGAAAATTAAAAAAAAAAGGCAGTGATAGATAGAACATGAGTCTGCCGACAATTACTTACGGGCCAGGATTATTCAAAAACTTCTCAGGACACAGAAGAGTCACTTGATGGTTTTTTTATTGGTGAGTCACTTGCTGAACCTTCTAAGAGAGGCTTTGTTGTTGGAAGTCTGTGCTTTATGAAAAGAAGCATGTAGAATTTAGACAGTTTAAAGAAACAATTTAGTGAATGCAAAATGAACTCAAGTACTATGTAGGCAAACTACATCATCGATATACATACTCTGTGTGTCTGTATGTGTGTTTTTCTTTTCCCTTTTTGGTGTTCCTCATCCCAGCAAAAAACTTGATGTGGTCCCTTTGGCTCATGGAGCTTATATTCTAGTAGGGGTGACTGATGTTAATCTAATCCATTGCTATTGAAAAAGTGCCTTGCAGATTGAGAACATATTCGGGAAGATGTGATGTCCAAACTGATCAGTAGGAATTAGCTAGGTGACAGTTGGAAGTAGGAGGAGGGAAAAGAATATTTCATGTAGAAAACGCTTCATGGGAAAAAATTTGCTGTGGTTACTGATGATAGCGTGTGTTTAAGGAATTAAAAGAAAGCTCATATATGCTGAGAGCAACAAAAGGACAGGATAGTGATGGAACAGAGAGGCACGAAAGAGAGGCAGGGGCTTAGATCTTTAAAAAAGCACCAGGGAGTCTTTGAACGATTTACGCACTTGGAGTGACATGAGCAGATATGCACTTTGTGAAGAGAAAGCTGGGCATAATGTGGAGAGTGGGTTAGAGCCCCTAGTCGTGTCTGTGGGAAGAGCAGGTAGGAGGCTCTCGCAGCGTTCTAGGAGAAGGGGACTCGGTAGTTTAGACTGTCGTGGGGGCGGGGGAGCTGGAAAGATGTGCACAGAGTCGGGGGACACTTAGGAAGTATGCTGCGCCAGAATACTCGTCATTGGTTTGGTCATTAAACTATTTTTCTAGAGTGATTAGCATGGTGGTGGGGGGGGTCTTCTTGTTTAGTTTGAGTATAATAGTAGGGTTAACAGATTCCCCACATTATAAGATTTAGCAGTGGCTAAAGAGGTAGAATGCCACAAAATATTCTGGAAACGAAAACTACACCAAGCAAATTTTAACCTCTCTGAAATTTTGCTTGTACTTGAGCATCTAACAGGCAACAGAGTCACCGTGTGTTAGGGATATGGGACCTGTGGGAGCCGCAGGTGTTCGAGCTGGGTCTACTGTGCTCTCAGGGCATGTATATCCGAGAAAAGGCTTTTCCACATTTGTTCATGTCTTTAAACATTTGTTATGAACATGTTCAAAAATCCATTTTATTATTCATGATTTTGGAAATATATGTGGAGGTGTGTATGTGCTCAAGCACGTATACAGGCATGATTATATAGGTACACACGTAAATCCAAAAAGCCTATATATTTTTATTTTTTTATTTGCATGTTTCATGTTTATTTTAGTATATATTTTTATTTTAGTTCTATATATTTACTTTTTGTTTATGTATACAATTACCAAAATTTGTCTTAAATGGGTATTAGAAAGTTATTATAATCTGTGTGGTTATAATTAAAATTTCACATACTTGAATGAGTGAATGAAGTCATCAAGCCTTGAATCGAGGCTAAGACCAAGTTTATTATTTTTTTAATTTTCCATAGTATATTTCTTTGTTGTTCTTACTGTATCTATTTCACTTAATTAAGTTTTATGGTAATCATTTCATTGATTTTTTTTTTCCTGCTAAGATTGGACAATAAATACAATTCTTAATATGGTAAATTTACATATTTTTCTGCTTTTGCTATTTTTGCTACTTTCCCAGGATGAAACTAACAGATAATTGCATTAAAATTTTTAATTTTTTTAAAAAGAATACAACTGCAGAAAATTCCCTTCTACAAATTACTGTGGAACAGAGAACAAATGTCTGACAAAATTACATCATAATTCATGTGCCTGAGTAAATTATCCTTCAGTAATTCATCCTGAAGAGATAAAAGGCAATTTCCTGGCTACTGAAATCTTGGTCAGAGTCCTTTTGGACATCTGTCCCTTGATAATATCACCAAATAATATCATCATTACTTTGCAGGATTGAATCATGCTCTAAGATAACAGACACGCACATAGCCACTTGTTATATGGGTGATGAACAAGAGTCTCTCAGGCTCTATATTTTGTTCGTTAACTGCTCCAAAGTATTTGACACTATCCATTAAATTAGGCTTCTCTGGTAATCGAGCAAAGTTTAACTCTCCTAGCAAGTTCCTCAGGATCTAAAACTAGCTCCACAACAAAAGCTTGGTCTTTAATATTCCTTTTCCAGGCATGTGAAACAATATTGATTAATAGTCTTAGGTATAATGAGCCCATCTTCTGTTGAGATATATGACAGCATATGAGATGCAACGTATGGTTCTGCAAAGAGAAGCTGCTGTGGGCAACATAGAAGGGCCTCAGCAGTCTACTCAGAGGTAATATTCCCGTTCATTACTTGGATAACATTAAGATACCCAGAGAAACAGAAACAGCATCTTTAGAGAGTGCAGTCTTGTTTACCAAGCACTTCACACAGTGTCTGTGATCCGCTGTCATTCTTGCAACAGGTCTCACAAGTAGGTACCCGAGGAGGGTATTTTCTCCATTTTCTCCAGAAACGAAGAGTAAGAGAAGTTAATGACTTTCCCAGATCAATTTCAATCTGGTGCCAGGATATTTATGATATAGCAATATACGAAAATAGAAAAGCACATTATTGGGAGACAAAGCATAAATAGAAAACTAAAACAAATTACTGCCCTTTCTCTTCTTTATTTCAAAGCTTCTAGGAAGTGAATATCTCCATTAAAAATAAAAACACTGTGGGCAGTGCCTGTGGCTCAAAGGAGTAGGGCGCCGACCCCATATGCTGGAGGTGGCAGGTTCAAACCCAGCCCCAGCCAAAAACTGTAATAATAATAATAATAATAATAATGATAATAATAAAAACACTGTCCTGGCGCCTGTAGCTCAGTGGCTAGGACGCCAGCCACATACATTGGGGCTGGAGGGTTCGAATCTGGCCCAGTCCCGCCAAACAATAATGACAACTACAACCAAAAAATAGCCAGCTATTGTGGCAGGTACCTATAGTCCCAGCTACTCGGGAGGCTGAGGCAAGAGAATCGCTTAAGCCTAAGAGT